AGAGAGAGAGAGAGAGAGAGAGAGAGAGAGAGAGAGAGAGAGAGAGAGAGAGAGAGAGAAAATGGCATCCATAGCTACAGTCCTCGAACATAACACACGGTTGCTATGTTCATGACGCTCGTTTTGCCTGTACCTGACCGGGAAGATATGTTGTATACATTCATTATCAGGTCTACCGTCATGACGCCGTGATGCCCCCACACAACGCACCTGAATAATGAATGTATAAAACCTACTTTTCGGGTCAGGTACAGGCATAATGAGGGTCGCCCTGCTTCTCTCTCTCTCTCTCTCTCTCTCTCTCTCTCTCTCTCTCTCTCTCTCTCTCTCCATCCCTCCCCCCTGCTTCCGCCTGGGACAAATTCGCATCCGTACACAGTCATGTTGGGAACCCTCATGTTGCCTGTACTCGACCGTACAGATGGCTTGTATACATTCATTACCAGGGTACGTTATGTTCGGGGGACGACGGTAGCCATGGACGCTGTACTCTGTGTGTGTGTGTGTGTGTGTAGCTACAGTCTTCCCCCCAACACAACGCACCCTGGTAATGAATGCATACAAGCCATCTTTCCCGTGGGGGGCAGGCAACATGACGAGGGTCACACTGCTACTCTGTGTGTGTGTGTGTGTGTGTGTGTGTGTGTACCCTGGTGATGAATACATACAAGCCATCTTTCCCTTGGGGTACAGGCAACATGACCAGGGTCACACTGCTACACTGTGTGTGTGTGTGTGTGTGTGTGTGTTAAGTCCGCACGGGACAAGGTTTCAAATTAGCCTGCACCCTCTCTACGTGGGCTCCACAGGGCCCCACCAGCAGTTTTCTCAACACCCGAATCTGGACGTGTTGGCGGAGATGTGCAGAAATGGCGTTATTTTTCCTCAACACCACATCTCTGCAAACAAGTCCAGATACGGGCATTAAGGAAACTCTTCGCTGCTGATGGGACCTGGCCCTTGTAGGTGCTACTCTGTCCACACGTCCTGGTGGTCTACAAAGGTCCCGGTAGGTAGGCCGACAAGGGTCCCCGTAGGTCGCTGTTTGGCACCCGCTTTTTCTGCTGTTTTTGCCTCTAACGAACTACCCAGCCTACGGCTGCCATGTCCAGTCTTTTTTGCCTTTTTGAACTCCTCAGATTTGAAGTTGCAACGCAGTGGTTTTTCCTGGCAGTGCCTATTTCAAACTAAAGTGTGACTCCGGAGCAGTTTCCACGTGACACTTTTATCAGGGCCCAGTGCCCAAGGCAAATTACATCATCACAGTAAGCAACAGCAAGGACAGCCGGGTTGTCCCACCCCACCGGCAGCTCGGAACCCCGTCCCTGTGTACACAGTCTTCACACCCATCCCTCAATGCCAGCACCAGCCCTGACAAGAGGGGAATCCTCATATGTAAGCAGAAGGCCCACTCAAATCTGCAGGCAGCAGACACAGATCACAGAACACCACTACCACGACACTATACAGGACACAAAAAGGCACCGAATGCTAAAAAAGAAGAAGACACTCTATCTACTATAATCAACAAGCTGTTGATTCACTTTGAAGTAGCTACTTAGCTTCTTCTACAGTCTTCCCCTGAACACAATGCACGCTGGTTATGACTGTCCCTGGCTGGACAGATAGCTTGTATGCATTCACTATGAGGGTGCATTGTCTTAGGGGGAAGACAGTAAGGGGGTGATTAGTTCGACCAGTGACAGCATGGAACGTCGTGGTGGGCCATGGTTACCTCGTCAGTGGTAGCATGCTCTGACAGACTGACAGAGGTCACGTCACTGTGGTTAACTTGGCTTTTTTTTTTTTTTTTTTTTTTTTTTTTTGGTGGGTTGTTTGTTGTTTGTTCCTTTGGGGGGGTGGATGCGCAATCAAAGCAGGGCCATTTTTTATTATATTTTTTCACGAAATTGGGCGTTTGGAAAAAGACCAGTATATTTTTTAGCATTTTTGTTCCCCCACTACGATGGACCTTTGATGGTACGGCGCATCCTGGATTTTCTTTTTTGCCTTTTTTGTGGACCCTTGGATGTACTTTGCGTCGAGGTACGTCAGAGGGTATGGCGTCCCCAGGACCCCATACCATTAATGGTCCGACGTTGTGGGGACATAAAAATGCATAAAAATACTGTTTTTTGGGGGGACAGTGGGGACAGGGAATTTCGTGAAAATTGGAACAACAAAATTATGTCTTTTTTTTTCTTTTTTTTTTTTAGGTGGGTTGTTTGTTGTTTGTTCCTTTGGGGGGGTGGATGCGCAAC